CCCGGTTCCCATCCCGGTTCCCAGCCCGCTTCCATCCCTGTTCCCAGCCCGGTTCCCATCCCGGTTCCAGCCCGGTTCCCAGCCGGGGCAGTTCCCAGCCGGGGCAGTTCCCAGCCCGGTTCCAGCCCGGTCCCAGCCCGGTTCCCGCCGGGGCTCCGGGCCGTTCCGGGCCGCTCCGCCCGTGCCGCTCCGCCCCTCCCGGCCAAGCCCCCCCCAGTGCCGGCGGGCGCGGCTGTCGCAAAGCGCCGCAAAGCGCCGCCAATCGCGGCGGAGCCGCCCCGGGCGCGGCGGCCATGGCGGCTTAGCGCCGGTGCGGCGGGGCCGGGACGGGCCGGGCCGCGGCTGCCCCGCCGCCGCCCATGTGGCTGCAGCAGCGGCTGAAGGGGCTGCCGGGGCTGCTGTCCAGCAGCTGGGCGCGGCGCCTGCTGCTGCTGCTGGTGCTGCTGCTGGTCGCCTACTGGTACCTGGGCGCGGCGCGGGCGCGGGGCGCGGGGCGCGGGGCCGAGCCGCGGGGCCCCGCCGCTCCTTGCCTTCAGGCGGCCGCGGGCGCCTGGCGGGCGCAGACCCAGCGCGGCGATGCGCTGCCGCTGCCGGAGGAGGCGGCGGGGCTGGCGGTGGCGGGGAACGGGTTCCTGCTGCTGGACGTGTCCGCCGGGCGGCTGTGGGTGCGGCCCGCGGGGCCCGCGGCGGGGCCGGCGCTCGCCACCGAGTACCCGGCGCTGGTGCGGCTGAGGGCGCCGGGCGGGCGCGGCGAGGCGCGGGCGGCGCTGGCGGCGCTGCGGGACGGGGCCGTGCGGAGGCTGCGCTGCGTGCAGACCGGGCCCGGCGCCGGGGACTGCGTGACGCTGCGGGAGGAGGTGGTGGCCCACCGGAGCCGGCCGCATCTCTACCTGCAGCGCATCCGCATCGCCAACCCCACCGAGCGGGTGGCCGCCTTCGAGGTCTCGGCTCCCGCCGCCGCCTCCGCGCTGGGCGGGCGCTTCGTCAGCAGCCTGGAGAAGGTGGAGGAGCGGCAGTTCCTGCTCTCCTCCGGCCGCCTGCTGCTGGCCGGCAGCCCCAAGGTGGTGCTGGTGGTGGTGGCTGCCAAGAAACTCGTGAGCCGGGTGCAGGTCGCGCCCAAGTCGCACTTTGACGAGACCCTGCTGTCCGTGGTGTACACCTCGGAGCCCATCGAGGTGTCCAGGCTGGAGGAGACCTTCAGCAAGCTGAGGGAGGCAGCCAAGAAAGAGATGCTGGAGGTGATGCAGATGGGGGTGGAAGATCTTTTCCAGGAGCACCAGCAGACCTGGTCTGACTTGTTCATTTCAGGTAAGGAAAGTTGTGCTTTAGTGATGCTCAGCTTCCACGGGGTTGCATTAGAGGGTGTCCGAAAGCTCAGTGTCCTGGTTGTTGTAAGGTCTCCAGAGGCTCTGGTCTTCTCATGGGTTGTGGGATAGTAAAACAGTGTTTCTGGTTTGGAATCCAGCTTACCTTACAAAGTGGAGTACGCCTGACTATGTATAGAAGGTGATAGAAGAATATTTATAATCATTATTCTGTGTGTTTTGTGTGTGCTGCTTTTTGGGACTTCAGGAACTTCACTGATTTGCTGTGCATGTCAGTTGGGAAAAAAGTTGACCTTTAGTGACAGCGTAAAAGACAGATTCTGCATGGAGGTTAAGGGCCGTTCTACAAAGATGCTTTTTCTTGAGATTTTAATGTCTGACACAAAAGAGTAGCTGACCAAATAATGTAGAATTTGTTATTTTATAAAAAGATTATGTTCTTTTGACAGATCATTCTTGCAGAGTCATGACAACAGGCCTGTAATGCATCTGTATATTAAATTAGCTTTGTCTTTAGTGGGAGCTTGGCTTTCAAACTCCCAAGTAGCAGAGAAAGTATCTTCTTAGACAAACACAAGGAAACATTTCACTTTGGTGTTTTATGGACCCAGGTTTCTTAGATGTTATAAAGAGCACCATATTGAACATCAACGAGCATGTTTGATCTTCTTTTCCTCCTAGTGAATTTCTGACTGTGGGTTGTTTTCTTTTGCTACAGGGATTGAAATGAGAAAGATCACAGATGCACACACCCCATCCAGCGAGACTGTCAACATGACCCTGTACTACGTGCTGTCAACCGTGCCAGCCCCGCTGCTAGACCCGCTCCTTGCTGCTGAGGACAGGGAGAGGATTGAGGCCAGCCTGAACTACGCTGACCACTGCTTCAGCGGCCACGCCACCATGCACGCCGAGAACCTGTGGCCACCCAGGCTGAGCAGCGTCACCCAGATCCTGCAGCTCTCAGACCTGTGGAAGCTGACTCTCCAAAAGCGGGGCTGCAAGGGGCTTGTGGCAGCTGGAGTGCACGGCCTCATGCAGGGAATGGTGCTTAGTTTTGGGGGTCTGCAGTTCACAGAAAACCATCTTCAGTTTCAGGCTGACCCTGACGTACTTCACAACAGCTATTCCTTACGTGGGATCCATTACAATAAGGACTTGATCAGTTTAGCTGTTCTCCTGGATGCAGAAGGAAAGCCCTTCTTGCATGTGTCTGTGAAATTCCAGGACAAGCCTGTCAGACTGTATGCGTGCGAGGCAGGCTGTATGAACGAGCCTGTGGAGCTGACCTCAGAGGCACGAGGTCACACGTTCCCTGTCATGGTGACTCAACCCATCACACCACTGCTTTATATATCAACAGATTTGGTCCACTTGCAGGACCTAAGACACACACTCCACCTAAAAGCTATTCTGGCCCATGAGGAACACATGGCCAAGCAATACCCAGGCTTACCCTTCCTGTTCTGGTTCAGTGTGGCCTCCTTAATTACTTTGTTTCATTTGTTTCTGTTCAAACTCATCTACAACGAGTATTGTGGGCCAGGAGCCAAGCCCCTCTTCAGGAGTAAGGTATAAGGCTGCTGGTGTTGCCTGCTGTCCACTAAGTGTTGTCAGCCTGATGTTGTGTCAGCTGTACCTGGGCAGGCTCTCTCTTAGACTGTGAGGATTTTCAGTCTCTCTTGACAAGTTATCTGTGACCTCTTCTTGCAAGAAGGAGGATTAGGGCAGGGATTGGAACAGTAGGGCTCACAGTTGTTAGCAAAGACAAATTCCTCTTCTGTCCCTAGACATTTGTGAGTCTGCAGGTGGAAGCAGACACAGCTTTCTGTCCTTTTGCCACACATCACTGTAGGACATTGCTTGTTTCTAGGCCAGCAGTTGCAGTTGTCATGAGATGATGCTTCTTGTTATTCAGTACCAGAAAGCACGTGAGAGAGCTGCTGTACTGGTGTGAGCTGCTGTGTGGAGCCCTGCACACCTGCCTGCCTGCTCTTGGCGTGTGACATGTCACACAGGAGCACCCAGAGGCAGGCTGGTGTTCTGAGGTGAAGGTGCTGACTTGCTGGGACTTGTGGTACATATTATACACATTGTGCAGCCCTCCATCAAACCACACTTACCACCATCATTTTGGGAAGATGCTGAATTGGTGTTTCTCCCAGTCAGACAAAATCCAAAGCTGTGTTAAGGAAAGTACTGAGTGCTTCTTACTGTGAGTTGAAGGTTCTAGCTCCAAGCTCTGGAGCCAGAGCTCCAAGCTGATCTTACCTGGGTGTAAAGAATTTCAAGTTGTTTTGAGTTGCCTTGGAAAACTTATTTGCTGTAAAAACTTAGCACAGAACAGACAGTAGATGGTGAGTTCTGCTCTTAGCACTGGGACTTTCTGATTGTGTGTTGATATGAAGTGGAAATGCAACACCAGACTGGATTTGCTGTGTGAGCTAGTTGTGCTGTTCAGAGGCTTTCCTCCTGAGGGCTGATCTGAGTTAAGTGTAGGTTCATTTAGAAAAAAAGGAGATGATAATTAAACAGAGCTCTCAGAGGAAAGGTTCTAGCTATAGATTGTACTGTTATTCCAAAATATAAAATCAAATTCGATTTTGAATAGCTAAGGCTGACCAGAAGTTATTGAACTAAACATGACAGCTGGTATGTATGGGGTTTTTAAAGTGAGCTGGAAGTTTCCCTGTCAGCTCACTGGTTTTGTCATTTTGAACACTGGAGATCAAGCCTGATCCCAAGCAGGTCTGAATAGCTGTGATCCAATAAAAGACTGAGTGGGAGGTGCTTGTAGCCAGACAAACTAACCTGGGAAGAGGTAGGATAGAAATGTGTATCAGACAACTGCAGCTACAAGCCTCTGATCATGATCAGAACCTCAGTGCAAAGGGAGGAAGAGGTCAGGAGGTGATGTCAGCTACTGTGCAACAGCTGTGCCCAGACATGCACCTGAAATGTGTCCTTGGAATTATGTAATGATGTCCTTTCACTGTTGTCTGTCCAGTTGCCTTTGTCATCTCCAAGACTTGCCTTCTGCCTTTTACCAAGTGACTTGTTAACCATTGCTGCAGGTGGCTGTCCCCGCTGAAGTGCCCAGAGGCTTCACAGCCACTGTAGGGCTGACCTGACACCTCATCCTTCTGCTGCCTGGTCTTAGCTGGAGCTACTTCAAATGAAGTTGATGCAGAACTTGATTCCAGAAACAGGGAAGAAGTGGAAGCCAGCTGAAGCTCAGAATCTGTAGCAGTAAGCAAGATAGATGGTCTTGAAACAGCACCCCATTCCATTGAGTGGGAACATCCCCGTGTCCAAGTGAACTTAGTCCTGCTTTCAGCCTCCATTTGCACAAGACACCTGGCAATATTGCAGCTGAGAACAAGGACCATTTGAAAGCAACAACCCTTTTGTGCCTTGCTATTACAGGAATCTGAGACTTGGAAGGTGTGGTGATTCAGTTGTTTATCCCAGAAGCTTGTGTAACAGATGTTTCCTTTCCCTGTAAGCTGTTCAGTTCCCTGGGAGTAATCCATTTGGTGAAAATACTTGAAGATATACTAAGACCTTTGATATTTTGATCTGTTTTTGTCTTTTTTTTTTATTTTAGTTCTACAGAAAAATAAAGGATGATGATTCCCTTCTGAGAGTTAACTAGAAAACTTTAGTGTAACTTCCTTTCTGGTATACAGTAATTTATTGCTTGGGGGGAGGGGGAGTATGTTGATTTTTCCTCCACTTCAGTAACAGTCAATTGAACTGTCGATATCTAACAATCTTAACTGTTGATAAGTTCTTGTAACAGGTGTTTCAGCCTTTATGACTGTAGAGTCCAAAATCAATTTAATGAACTTGTTTTCTGGATATGCACTTGGAAATGCTGATCTACACGTTTCCTATTCTAAGCCTATTGAGATTTTGTGCATTGATTTGTTTTGGCTATTGGGGAATTCACCCCACTTTCTAGTGACTTACAGGTTGTTTGGGTTTAAAATACCAAAGCTGTTGTTTCTAAATAAATATCTTTCAGTCTAATCTGATTGCTGAAGTGTGGTTGGGGTTTTTGTTGGTTTTGTGTCTGTTCTTTCCTGCCATTGCTCCTCACCCAGTTTAGATAAACAGGGCCTTATGTTACATCTGTGGCCAGTATTTACTGCATATACAGTGTGGAAAATACAATATAAATGGATATAAACTGGATATAAGACAATTTGGAAGGCACAGCAAGTGACAAAAACACACAGGGTAAAGCTCACCTCCATTTCCTTGCTCAGTATAACCTTGTTTTATCCTGAGGAATGAAGGCCAAGCTTTACTTTGAAGAACACAGAAACGATCCCAGGGAACCATCAAGCAGCAGATTTAACAGCCATGCAGCAAGTAATAAATGTGGCAGAATTGCCAGCAGCATGTCACCCATGGAGTCCAAGGAAAACTGTTTAGGCCTGGAAAAGATGGATAAGCTACCATCACATAAAGCATGAATAGAACAAAAAGCAAAACAGCTTTGAGAGTGTTTTACATTAAATATATTAGGACTCCTATGAGAGTTTCTTTCATAACAAAAGAACTGTTTCAGAATTCCTCCATGAAGAAGGGGAAGAAGAAACAGTGTTTATTTACAGTGTGCAAGAGAGCAGAAGGTCATATTTGTGAAATGCAGAAATGCTTAAAGAACTAAACAAAATTCCACATTTACAAGCACACAACAAACAAAGCATGTTAAAATAGTAACTGACCATCCAAAATTTATACTTTTAGTTGGAATTCAGTGAAAATCTGAGCAGCATAACGTTGTTTAGCTTGTAAATTCAGACACTAAGAAAAGAGCCAACAAATGAATGGAAAAAAATTTAGAAATTCAATTTTGTACTGTTAATCCTGGTTTCTGCTTTTGGCAGATAATAAATACAAGATGCCAGAACAGGGTTTGGTTGATCCAATTTGCAATTCAAAATGCAGCTTTCTCAAATGCTATTGTCTGGGTAGGAAAATACATTATTGAGAAGCAGATGAAACAGCAAAGCATTCTATATTTCTGCCTTCCACATGTGTGCTCCAGGCATCTTTCATCCAGCACAGTACCTGCTGCTGAATAAAAGCTCTGGAAATCAGGGATTTTGCTGCTTATTAGTCCTGACATTGAACATCAGATTTATTTCAGCATTTTTGAACCCCTTGTTTGGTGTCTGTGTACCACACAGCTCTGGTTGTAAAATTGGCATTATGATATTTCCATTCTAGTAAGTTTGTTCCCTACGAGTGTCCTGGTTTACAGGATAGAGATGTTTTTTTTTAAAATAACCAGCAACAGTTTCTCAATGGTTGGTGGATGGAAAGGTGAGAGAGGATGGAAAATTCCTGTAGTAGAAGATAAAAGAAAAAAGACAAGGGTAAGCATTGCTACTGTCAGTAATGAATTAGGACACTTCCTTTTGTGGCAGCATCTCTGGAGTGGTGCAAATGCCTGCTTTGTCCTGTGAGCAGAAGTGTTTTGCTCTTTTCATTAACAAGTTCATAGTGTGTTGTAGCACAGGTCAGCACTGCTCTGGTTGTTTCTAAATAAATATCTTTCAGTCTAATCTGAAAGCACAGGTTCATTTGCAACGCTGCAGGGAGCCCTGTTCTCTTCCAGGGCTGCTGATCTAACACAGGGACATAGGACAGGGATGGAATCTGACTCACCACAACCTAGCAGGATTTCTGCTTCATCATGGACAGCTGGTTCTTGTATGGCCTGGAGTATGTTCCACTTCCAAGCGATTACAGCCTGCTTTATTGAAGTCTGGCATGCTAAAGCACACACAACTTGATCTGGGAAAGAAGATACAGGTTTTCAGTCAGTACAATATGGTAGATACCATTCAGTTACAAAACAAAACAAAAGCAGACCCCAGACCAAAATAAAATCCCAAGGAGTTGTATAATTTAGGAAGGGAGCCTCTAGAGATCAACTAATGCAACCCCACCAACACGTCCAAATCTACCAATTCCAAATATATCAGACACTGCTGACATACCACCAAGTGTTAGAATAATTAATTTAGCATTTTCCTTCTGTGAACACTTGTGTGATAAACTTTCAAGGCAATGGAAATGGAAACAGCTGCTACAAATAATAAGCAACTAATTAACCAAGTTGTTTATACAGCCTGGATCCAAGGTCTACCTAAATGGGGATGTTTTAACAACTTGTGTGTATAAAGAATTATCCCACAGTGACACAAGTTTTCCATTTGTATTGGAACAGATCTGCATTTTAAGTCATGTGTCCCAGAGATAAGGACACCTATAAAGTGGCACGGAGTTGAGCCTACAGCACCCAGCAACTGGCACCATGATCGGACTCCTCTTTGCTGTGCTGATCCTGGCACCTGCAGGTACGTGTCCAACTTCTACTTTAGTTTTAAAGGATTAAGTTAAAATCTGAAACCAACTTTCCTTTTTTAGACAATTTGAACATTCTACATCAGAGAATAGAAATACAGCATAGGATGCTCATTACAAGGGTCTCTCCGAAGAGTAACTGGGTGTTGTACTATTTGATACTTACAGATATTTTTTAAATCTACTTTCAAACACACATGCTATTTGTATGTCTTCTAGCCTTTGGCTGTGGGGTTCCTGCCTACCCACCTCTTGTGTCCAGAGTTGTTGGAGGGGAAAATGCAAGACCATACAGCTGGCCCTGGCAGGTTGGTCATTCTGTGCTTTCCCTGGAACAACTGGGGCTGTGCTATCTCTGCACAACGGAACAAAACCACCTCTTAAATTCCATTTGATGCATCTTGCCTGACACATTTTGACTCTTTTGTTCTGATCAATCCTAAAGTTTCCAGGCTTCTTAAAAAAGCTCTGAATGTGCCACATTTTGTGGTCACTGGGAGTGGGGCTGCCGCAGAGCCTCGTCCCCCAGTGGGTACAGCTGTGAGGAGCAGGTGAGCAGCACTGAAGGGATGGAGTGCCCAGGTGCACTCACCAAAGGGAACAGGGGGGCACACAGTGCACTGCATGAGCATCAGGGTATAAAAGGTTGGGCTAAAGATCAAGAAGGGCACGTGCTTGGAGCTTTCTGGTGTGGTATGATGGTATTCTGTATGGGCAGATGCTTGAAACCTTCTGGTGTGGTATGGGGTAACTGTGTAGGGGACAATTTGGAAGGCACAGCAAGTGACAAAAACACACAGGGTAAAGCTCACCTCCATTTCCTTGCTCAGTATAACCTTGTTCTATCCTGAGGAATGAAGGCCAAGCTTTACTTTGAAGAATACAGAAATGATCCCAGGGAACCATCAAGCAGCAGATTTAACAGCCATGCACCTTAAAGGCTTAAAGCCTTCTGAAATTGCAGGGTGATATTCTGTGCATTGTGGCATATGCTGGGACAGTACTGCAGGCTCTCGTTTCAAGTCACGTAGACTTGGGCTATTTAAGCAAGATGTATTTTAAAAATCAAGCTTCAGATGATAGGGAAGGAGGCAAAGCCTTTCTGTGGCCAGGAGTTGGAAACTTCAAAGCCTTCCACCATCAGCAAGTTGTGTTCTGGGTGCAGGAACAAAGCACAACGATGAAAAATGAACAGGTAAAAGCCTGAGCCTTACCTGGTTCCTTGATTCCAGGCTTCCCTTCAATACTATTCCAATGGCAAGTGGAGCCACACCTGTGGGGGAACCCTCATTGCCACCAACTGGGTTATGACAGCTGCCCACTGCATCAGGTAAGTAATGAAGATAAATCTGACCCAGGAAGCAGCACATGAGCAGAAAGAGATGAATGAAAACCGTATTAATGCCAATTCTCCCTTTCCCAGCTGAAAGCTCTGAGGTTTTCATCATATCTTTTGATTAAAAATCAGGAGAATGACATCTCTTTATTTTCTTAATGTAAAAGGGGAAAATACCCCAGTTACATGAATTATATGCTCGTAATTTCCATAAACAAACTGCAAACATCCTTCTGTTTTCAAGTTGCTGTTAAAATTCAGCTGTATTGCCTGTTTCTGTAATATATGTCAGTGAGATCCTCAAGTTAACTAATCAATCTACTCCCTGAAGAAATAATCACAAATATTTTGAATATATCAATCATCTGCAATAAACTCTTCATATTATATGGCAGTGTTGCAAGTAAGTTATCAGGTACAGCAATGTCATTGCATTATCAAAACTGCTTCCACAAATAGAACCCCATTTTGCTCTGGTAGCATATGGTTATTGTAACATTAATTTGTAGCAAATATCATAATATGAATCATGAAGGATTTGCTGCATGTTATTATTATAAATCCTGCATATGATATCTATCACACAGTTGTTTATTATTTAAATTATTTAAGCTGTTAAAAAATGTCCAAATTGTTACTGCATTGAAGAATACGAGTTGAATCCTGCAAAGTTTGGAGGCACCTGGAGTTTTTTTAAGAAACCTTGAGAAGAGTTGAGAGGACAGCTTAGAGATGGAATGATTGTGAAGTCTAGAACACAATCTTTGCCCTTAGCAAATCACTGGCTCAGCTCCAGACAAACCATACCTGTGATGAGAGATTACACTCAAGGTTGTTCTTACTGAATCTCTCAGGAGCCAAAGATGCAGCTGCATAACTGAGTGTTCATCCTTTTCTTGCCCAGTTCTTCTATGACATATCGAGTGCTTCTTGGAAAATACAACCTCGCAGTTGAGGAAAAAGGAGCAGTTGCAATTTATCCACAAAAGCTCATTGTTAATAAGAACTGGAATTCACAGAATGTTGCAAATGGGTAAGCTGGTGGCAGGTATTTTTTCAGTTTTTAGGAGGGTAAAAATCAAACTGGCTGAATCCCACTCACCTGGAGTTATGGTAATTAAATTAATGTTTAGAGCCTCCTGTTACATTGTCCAGTTTCTACCTTCCCCCTCAAGAGACTACAGAGCAATTAACAATATTGATTTCTTACTGATTAATAATGTTTCCAGAAGCCATTTTGCATGCTCATGCTTGGGTCAGAAGCAATGATATCTCTTGTACAATGAAAGGCAATGAAGCATTTTATACAACACTCTTTGAAGCCTTCCTACCAGCAGCAGAGCCACAGAATCATGGATCATTAATATCCATGTGGCTGAAGGACCCCTGTGTCCTGCTGCAGGCTAAGGGCAGTAACGAAGAAATCCCCTCAGTTCCAGTCCTTGGAGTGAGTCCTAATATATGTTTGGTTTTGATGAAAAAAAACTATAAAAGACAACTTTCTTCCATCAGGAAAATGGGGAGTTCTGCAGGGAATAACCTTCCAGTCCATGAATTTCCCTGTTGCTTTAGGGTTCAGGAATCTTTGCTGCTTGTGCCCTGGCCTGAGTGTTGTGTAACTGCTGAGTACTCAGGCTATTGTGTCCTGATCTGTTTTGCAAACCTTTTCACCTTCCCCTTCTCTCCAACGTGTGTGTGGTACCACAGGTACGACATTGCTTTGATCAAACTGTCCCAGCACGTCACCTTGAGTGACCACATTCAGCTGGCCTGCCTGCCCCCTGCCCAGAGCATCCTGTCCTCCAACACTGCCTGCTATGTCACCGGCTGGGGAAGGCTGCAGAGTGAGTACTTGGGTGTTTGCACAACCATGGAACAAAAAAAGAACTTTCAGAACTTCCTTCTCCTCTGAGATTGACGGCAAAGACTATTAATGGTGCTCAAGATCCCCTCAAAACTCAGTATAGTGAGGTAGTTTATTATATTAGGCTCCACTTCGTTCATGCATTATGATTTTTTCCCTTTGAAATTTATTTTCCTTGTAACAGAGATGGTAATGCACCTGAGGGGCCTTAACTGAGCTTTTAGGAGCTGTTGTAATGCAAATGTTAATAGTGTGCAGACAGGTGCATTTACTAATCCCAACACACTTGCTGAATATCTGAAGACACATAAGGGAATAGATGTGAAGTGAAGAAAATCTCAGAGTTGAGCAGAGGTGTCAGCTTGGCTCAGGAGGCAATTCCTCGAGGGATAAGTAAATTACAAACTCCTGAAAATAGAGTAGCCCTTTATTTCTCTTAACAATGAGACATTTTTTAATGGAATGCAAATTTTTAGTAAGTTAAGGTATATATGAAAGAATGGAACTAAGGGACATTCATACCTATAACAGCTTCTCCTTTAATGTAGCCCCTATGGAGTGTTTTACCTGGAGTGATGCTACCCAGATACCAAGAGACATTTAGCAGAGCAGTTCATTCTTCCTTCAGTGCCAGCTGGTAGCATGAGCCCGTGTTTCTGTTCTCTCTCAGCTAATGGACCCCTCCCTGATGACCTGCAGCAAGGCCTCCTGCGGGTGGTGGATTATGCAACCTGCTCCCTACCTACCTGGTGGGGCAGCTCAGTGAAACCCTCCATGGTTTGTGCTGGCGGGGATGGAATCACCTCCAGCTGCAGTGTGAGTCCACTCTCAGGGATTGGGTTTAGACCAACAGGCCTGATGGCAAGGGAAGGTTAAAAGCTCCACTCGAACTCACACTATAACTATGTTCTCCTTCCTCCCAGGGGGACTCTGGAGGCCCACTGAACTGCCAGGGGGCTGATGGCAGGTGGGAAGTGCACGGCATCGTCAGCTTTGGCTCTGCTATCAGCTGCAACCAGTACCACAAACCCTCTGTGTTCACTCGGGTCTCTGCCTACATCAGCTGGATCGAGCAGGTGAGGAGACACAGACTGTGCTGGGGCTCTCCCTGCCAGTGCTGCCACCCCCCAAGGGAGCTGTTCCACTCCTGATTCAACCCTTACCAACTGAAAGTATTCTCCTCTGAAACATAGTCAATTTTGTTTTCACTTATTCAAATAAGTTTTGATGATAGGAATGCATTTCTCTTTATCCTAGAGCTTTTCTGTAGTCATAAAGATTTATCATATATTTCAGAAGTGGTTACTCAAATTTGCATTCATCAATTGCATCCTAAAAGGTAGCACATGCAGCACAAATCTGGAATGTCAAACATCTTTTAATTTAATATAATTTTGACTGAGAAGCAAAAATCTTATTTCACTTATTTAAATCCTGTGACTTGGACACAGCACATACTGTTCACAAATTCCTGCATCTCATGATCTGATTTTTCATTTGTTTTACATCTTTGTAGGTTATGGCAAGCAACTAATCCCATGAGAACTGGACGAGAGATGCCATGGAGGAAATCAGTTCGAATAAAGTCATAATCATGACGCCTTTGATCAAAAAGAATTAGGAAATTACCCTTTTAACAACACAAGTATTAAACCAAACACTAGTGAAATAAACTGTATTTTCTGCAAGCAAACAAAGCGTGTCTCTGTCACTTCTTTTTGACTGGGGGCAAGCCCAGAGCTTGAATTTGGGGATAACTCTGGATATTTTTCCCTGTCCCAGCCTAACCTGGGGCAGGTGCCAGCGTGCTCTGCGGAGGGTGGGCAGTGGGAAGAGTCAGAGCATCCCAGAACTCCTCCGGGGGCTCGGGAGGAGGCTGCAGGGGGGAGCAGCAGCCTGAGGCTGCAAGGAAAATTGAATATCTGTTTCAGAGGAGGATCCTTTCAATGGGTAAGGGTTGGATCAGGACCAGCGATGGCCGGAGGGAAGGCAGCAGAGGCAGGTCCTGGCAGGTGAGTGGGGGCAATGCTGATCCAGAGGGGTTTCACCTCCTGTGACCTCGCAGCCAGCAAGACCCAACTCTGGGGTTTGCTATTTTTATAAACCTGTCTCGTTTTTAAGTCATTCAGAGCCCAGAGTGGCTGCTGGCAGCTGGCACGAGCGTGGGGTTTTTGGCAAAGCAGAGTCGCCACTTTTACCTCGGCGCTCAATTCAAGACTCTCTTAATATTTCTTTCGTTGTAGAAGATAGGCAGTATAAAATCAAGGTGGATTTTTGTTGTGTTTTTCTTCTCCTCCTGGTGTGTGCTAGCTGTTTCCAAAAATAGATTACAAATGGAGGGCAAGTGACCCAAAGGTAAGCCATATACAGGGTAAGGAAAAGGTTGGAAGTTTGTTATGGGAACAGAAATCCTCAGAGGTACATTTTCTAGGCTTGCTATTCCTTTTAGTTTGGTATTTTGCAGATGTTAACCTTTGGACTGAAAGTAATTATATTATTAAACAGAAATTGTATTAAATGAATAAGAGAAAGCATGGCTGTATATCTTTGGGGACACTATTGTTGTCACTTTCCTTCTACTTTACGACCATTGATCACCATTCTGCTCAGCAAGAATTTGTTTTGCTTAATATCAGCCTCTGCTGAGAAATAATAGATTTTATAGGATTTTATTTGTCTGATTTCCTATATCTGAAAGAACAAGGTATCTAAGGAGGGCTTTTTTCAATTAGCTTTACTATGCAGAACTTTGTTCTTTATCAGTAGAAATAAAGATTATCCGGTTATTCAGGAATCATCAGCTCCAGCATCACATCCTGAAGTTTTTTTTTTTTTTTTCATGAGTATCATTAGTGTAAGATTGTAAATGATGGAATAATACTTTTGAAAATTAAAATCATTAGAGGTCACTTTGCTCTATGGAGCATGGATGTCCATTATGTGCAGTATGAAAGACAGAAAGGCAATCATGAAGCTCAAACAATAAAAATTGGATGTGCAAATGCTTCAGTAAAAACTGAAAACCAATGTGATTCATTTCCCATCTGAAATATATAGGCAATATTGCAAAAAACATCTGAGCTCATTTGAACATATCAACAGAACTTACTCACCATATGGAAGTGCCTATTAAGAATAAGTTTGATTTTAAAAAATCAACAGTTCCAGTTTGTGATCACTGGAATAACTGGGGGAATAAGTAACCTATCTTTTCATGGCCTTCCTTAAGATTGGGAGAGAAGTATCCAGAGAATAAAACCTACAGAAAATGGTTTTATCAGCCTTTTTTCTCACAGAAAAACTGTATCATTTATCTGTTTTTTCAGATCAGAGTGTGTCAAGGAAGCAGTCTCTTAAATACAGCTTTTCTTTTAAAATTAATATCAGGTGGAACAAAATATAATAAAATATATCTTTAAAAAGCATCCAGATAATGCATGCTCCTTTTGCTTTCTTTCAGAACACATGGGAATTGTTAAATATCACTGCTAGATCCAGTTGTGGTTTCAGGAGCTGGAAGAAACACTCTTGGGATCAGACAATGCCAATGGGTTTTAAAAAATTTTTTTTTAGGTGTTTTCCCTCTTCCAATGCTGGTGGTAGAAAAACAATTCAGAGGATTTTGACAGCATGCGTGATCTCCCTCTGCAGCCTCCTTGGGGCCATTTCTTTTGATTTGAGCAACAGCTTGGAAATATGGAAAAACACAGGCAAAGCCCTTGGGGAACTTGCCTCCTGTGAAAACCTTTGGGCTGCTCAGCTCGTCTCTCTCCTGCAGGAAGAAAGGCACAGCTGGCTGCTCCCAGCAGCAGACACGAGGAACAGATCATCCCACCCTCAGCTCCTGGGGAATTTAAACTCCCTCTGTATGGCAAGTGAAGCAGAGCTGTACTGTGAAAATTGCCAGTGCAAGGAGGAGAAAATCTCCATTTGTAGGTTTTACATGAGTGGCTTGAGACACCAAGTGAACATCTCAGGGGTTACTGAAGCCAGGCAGGTGCTGTCCAGAGCCATCTCTGAACTGCTGCAGCGTTTCAGGAGCTCCCACGAGGACCTCAGAGCCATGAGGCACAACCCTGACTGGGCAGACACGGTCGCTTTTAAACTCTTCCTCCAAATTCGAGAAGCTGTGCTCAAATCTCAGCCAGTGCCAGCACCTGTGAGCCTTCAAAGCACACTGCAGCAACATTTCACCACTCTGAGCTATGCTCTCCTCTCCTCAGAGACTGCACATAAGTGCTGGACAGATAATGTCAATCTGTCTCTTCATTTCACCCATTATGAGGGAATCTCTTTGTTTACCCCATTCCCAGGCTTGGGTGACTTTGTGTCCCTGGAAGCCACGGGAAGGGGACTGCATTCTGCACAGAGCTGTCTGCTGCAGGAGGGACAGGAAAAGCTGCACAAGAAATTCAGGGAAATCCTGTCCACAATAAGCCTCAAGATCAGTCTGGTGGTGGTCGCCTGTCTCATTTACCCCATTGTACTGATGTCCTTCAAGCAAATGACAGATTGGATACACAATTATGCCAGGAACCTCAAGGAAAAGACAGAGGACTTGAAAAGGGAGAGGCGCCTAGCTGAGGACCTCCTGCACCAAATGTTGCCAAAATCTGTGGCCAAGCAGCTAAGGAAGTGCCAAAAAGTTGAGGCAGAAAACTATGACCAGGTTAGCAAATGGAAAGGATGTTGCCACCAAGGATAGAAAAATATTTACCTAAAATAGCACCTACCTTGTCCCAGTGTTGAGGATCCTGGGTTTGCACCCACAGTCGAGCGTGGATGGAAATCCAAATATTCCCGATGGGTTTTGGAAAGAGCTGTGCAATATGCTGTGGAGCACCAAGGCTGCTGGGGAAGGAAGAAGAGCTGAGATTTCCAAATTCATAGCTTTAGACCTCAAACATCCTATACTGAAAAATTGTCTTGGTGTTTAGGAGCCTACCCAACACAGCCAGCCAGCCCCTTTGGATCATGAGTTCATAGGAGCAAGAAATGAGTCTCCTCCTTGTAAACTATGAAGAATAAAAGAATTGCTGCTGTCAGTGTTGAATTTAGCAGCTGTGCTGCATAGCCCTCAGCCCAAATCCTCATGCTACAGTAATTGCAATTATCTTGTCTCTTTTTCCATGGACACCCCCTTATTTTCAGCTGTGAAACACAGTATTAAATGTTTGCATTTAATCTGTAGGTGTCATTATCAAAACAACAACCTGTAATTGCACAAATTAATTATAATCCACAACAGTCATGACATCAAAAGTGCTGAACCAAGGCAGAATGAAAAGGTGGCCCTTCCAGATTAATTGGTATTAGCAAAGATGTTTTAAGCTTAAATACTGACAATTGAGACAGCACAGAGAAGAAAATTCTTTGCCAACAGCTGCAACACACATTTGTCTTCCTCAATTCTATTATTTCTTTTATAAGTTTAATTTTTAAGTGGGTTTTTTTTCTATAAATTACTTGATCATGACGAACATAATTCGAAAATGAAACAAAACCCAGTTAATATTTTCTAATTCAACAAGAGCAGAGACAGCAACTGAGATTTTGTTTCACAGGTTGTTTTGGTACCTAGTTTTATCCCTATCACTTTTAAAAATCACTTTTAAAGGACAACGAGACCCAACTTCTATAAGAAGCTCTTGATCACTGCTCACAAGATTCAAAGCATTTGACTTTCAGTCTCCCATTAGGATGAGGTATTCACAGAAGTGCAGCTGCTAAACTTTGGAGAAAATAATTTTATCTTTCAAAGTAGTAGAAAACAATTCAGACCCAGAGCTCTGAATTAATGGAATGCAAATTTTTAGTAAGTTAAGGTGTAAGAGCTTGTTAATTTAGGATTGTTTCTATTGAGCTGTGCAAGACTGGTACTACTGGCAGACTGTGGCTTAGGCTGCTGTGCTCAAGATTTCCCAAATCCCCAAACTCCCCAAAGGCTTCACCACTGCTGCCTGCAGATCTTGGCTTCATGCTCTCCTTCTCCCTGTAACAGGTGACTATTTTTTTCTCTGACATCGTGGGGTTCACGAGCATTGCTGCCTCCTGTACTCCCTTGCAAGTGGTTGAGATGCTCAACAACCTCTACGTCTGCTTTGACACCAGGATTGAGTCTTACGATGTGTACAAGGTGAGTAGAAACCCACAGGAAAGGAATCTGCACGCTGCTGAAATCTTTCTTACTCTGTTTTCTGGTGAATATCAAATAGCTCAGGCCAGGAGTTCAAATCCATGAAACACAAGACCTGCCATCCTATGGGGACTCTACACTGCATTTTGGCAAGGGCTGGACAGCTAAAATAGATTTTACTCTGATTTTCTTTCCAAAGGAAAGCTCAATGCCTGCCACTCAGTGACACGTGCCCCTTCCTACCAGGTGGAAACCATTGGGGATGCCTACATGGTAGTGAGTGGCCTGCCAGAGAGGAATGGCACCAGACACGCCGATGAGATTGCCAAAATGTCCCTGGATCTGGTGGCGGCCGTGCGGCAGGTCCTGATCCCTCACATGCCAGCAGGCAGGCTGGAGCTGCGGGCTGGCATCCACACAGGTACAGGGGCTGAGGGGAAGGCAGGAGAAAAACACAACAGGGCACATGTGGGAGTCCAGGGCATCCCTCTGGCTGCCCTGGGACCCTGGCAGGGGTCAGGAACCCCCCTGGACAGAGCCCCAAGAGACACTGGCTG